CTTTTTTCTTTTTTTCTTTTTTCTTTTCTTTCTCTTTCCCCTTTCCCTTTCTCTTTCTCCTTCCCCTTTCTCTTCCTCCTTCCCCTTGGAACCTAGCAGGCCTGGGTTCCTTCGAACCCACCCGCTGGGTTCGCCTAAGTTCGTCGAACCCAAGGTTGGGTTCGACGAACCTGGTGCTGGGTTCGCCTGGGTTTGTCGAACCCAAGGCTGGGTTCGACGAACCTAGGCGATCTGGGTCCGTCGAACCCAAGCGATTTGGGTCCGTTGAACCCAGGCGATCTGGGTTCGGTCGGGGTTCAACGGACCCAGATCACCTGGGTTCGACGGACCCAAATCGCTTGGGTTCAGTTCCTTGCAAGGAACCCAAGCATGCTGGGTTCAGTGCGAACCCAGGCAAGCATGCTGGGTTCTTCGATCTGCTGGGTTCTCGATTTGCCAGGTTTGATTTTTTTTTTTTAATATTTATGTTTAGAAGCTTGAATTTTAGGGATATTTTTGGGTTGCAGCTGATTATTTTGCTAGTGAATATTTTGTTTGTGTGGGCTGTTCTCATTGAGAATTTGGCAAAAATTGGTTGAGGGAAAAAATTTACCCATATGACTGCTTATGATTATTGAACCCAGCAGATCGCTGGGTTCTTGAGATCCCAGCAGATCACTGGGTTTGATCAAGAACCTAGCCATCTGCTAGGTTCTCAAGAACCCTGCGAGGGTTCGATTTCCCTTTTTTTTTTTTAATATTTATGTTTAGAAGCTTGAATTTTGGAAAAACATGTCATGATATTTCTGAGTTTTTTTGGGGAGGTTGAAAGAAAGAATTTAAGGCGGTGACTGGTTTGGGGAGATTCTGGGTTTGTATTATTTTTTGATTTAATGTTAGAAGGTGTTAGGGTTTGCAGAAGGCGAAAGGGAAGGAAGAAGAAAGGAAGAAAAAAAGAAAAAAAGGAAAAGGAAATATTTTAAGGTTTTTTTTTGCCATGTCATTGTTTTTCTTGCCATGTCATTGTTTTTTTTGCCATATCATTCTTTTTTTGCCATATCATTCTTTTTTTGCCATGCTGTCATCTTTTTTTCGTTAGGTAATGGGACAAGTCAGTCAATTTTTAACGGAAGGACTAAATCGGGGTAAAAATGGTAAACATTAGGGACCAAATCAGGGATTTTTTTAGTTCAGAGACCAAATCGGGGGTCCGTACAATAGTTCAGGGACCAAAAAAGGGTTTTAACCATGTTATAATTATAAAATCAGATAGTATTATAAATTTACAATAATGATATAATAATGAATGAGTAAATACATACAATATCACTAATGAATCTCTAAATGAAAATAGTTAATTATATGATGATATATTATATTGTAAACTTATAATACCTTATAACATTATAATTATAATATTTTTGACTAAAATATCAAAATGATAATAAAAAAACATAATTATCTTTAATAAATTAATGAGTAAAGAAGATTTATTATAAATATTTAAATGATTTTACAAGTAATTATGACATTTTAAATATCATAACATTATCATTTTGACTTTTCTCATTAAGTAATGAGGTTGTTAATTACTTTATTGAAGTTTTGAAATGGCTTGCCTACCAAAATTGTCAAATTTATATATTAATTTGACTGTTAAAAATAGTTAATAATTGATAAAATAATTAATATTTTTTATTTAATGAATTTAAATCAATTTATGAACAGGCATTTCTAAATATTATAACTAATTGCTTAAAAAAATTATAAATAGATAAAATTACAATAAAAATTGGTGACCTCAAGGTCATCGACAAAATCTCCAGTGCAATAACCTCAGCCTTCTGAAATGGGAGACACAAATTGTGTTTTGTGTTTGTCTTGCTAATGGAGGTCCGAGGTTGGAATGGTGTGAATGTAAGGGGCCCAAAACTAAATCACACCAAGCTAGTTTGGGTTACGTTGGGAGAAAGTAAGTAAGCTGGGGCCTACGCAGAGTAGCACTTTATGAGTGGATACATCTTTGGTGATCAGGAACGTCCTAGAAAAAATGTGGCCTTAAATGTTGACACCCAAATAAGTTGTTACAAAATACAATTGTATGTCGGCTTGTCTCAAGTCAAAGTCAATTGAAATCATAAATATCATATGAAAATTGTTGAGTACTTAACTTTCTGAACAATTAGTGCCGATGAGGTTGTGGAGAAGATGACAATCCATATTAAATACCAGAGCTCACTATGAAAATAAAAAGAATGTTCATCAAGTGGTAATTGTTTAATAATCTCTATTTCTTGTACTTTCCCATTTCCATTTTGAATGTATAAATTGTAAACGGGACTGTTGCTTAAATTCATTGGATTTTTTTTCAACCTGTAAACTTAGAACAGAAGTGGAGAGTGTATCAAATATATATATATTTTTTGTTATAAATATATAATGTAAAAATTGATATTAATTTTAGTATCAGGTGAATTTAATTAGATAATTAATAAATTAAAAGTTGATTTTTATTTTTTTAGTACAAATTTAAGATGTAAATGTGTATTTAATACATTTTTAATTTTATTTTATAGCACAAGTTAGATAAATCTAAATTTATAAATATTGAGGAGATTGAAAATCTTAACATCCCTAAATTGTTAAGATGAGTTTTTTAAAGCTGTTATTTTTTTTTTTTTTGTATGGATCAATTGGTATTTGGAAATCCACTAGATCACTGATTAATTCGGATTCGAGTTAGGTAAGATACAATGGGCAACAAAACTCTCTTTCGCAAGTTTTAAAGGAATTGCATTCTCAAAACCTGAAACCAATACCTCTAATTAAGTTAGAAGAATTTATTATCAATTTATCCACCCACTCATGGGTAAAGCGGTTATGATCATCAATTAGAATTAAACCGCAATTACATCGCTATTTGTATGTATAATTGGAAACATGACTGCTGCTAAATTTTAATATCTTTGGTTTTCCATAAAAGAAATTTTTTTTAACAATATAAAAGATATAAGGACAAAATACACCATAACTCTAAAATACATCAGTTTAGCGTAAAAGAAGTTTGTTTGCCTCAAATTTACTAATGTTTATGGCCGTACTGAATAATGATTTAAAGTTGTCTTTGTCGATGTTTTCTTGTTGAATTGGACGTTTCTTCAGATTTATATTCGAGAGAATGGAAGAAATTCAAAGAAATCCAAAACAGCGAACACGTTCGGTGGACGTGCCGGAGTGGTTATCGGGCATGACTAGAAATCATGTGGGCTCTGCCCGCGCAGGTTCGAATCCTGCCGTCCACGTTTTTTTCTCTTGCTTAATGAGGTTTCATTTTATACCAGATGAAGATGAAAAACATAGTCTTTTTAGATTTTGGATGTGTTTGAAACAGTATTTTTACATAAATATATGTTTAATAGTTTTTTAATTATAAAAAATTATAATAAATTTACAACAGTTTTATATATAAAATATAAGTCTCGTTTGAGAGTTTTTTTATTATGGCTGATATACCTTAAAAAATATATTAAAAAAAAAACCAATAACAAAAGGAATAGAAAACTTTTTTTATCCAAATAATTTGTTCCTTAAAAATAAAAAAATTTAAAGTTTTTATCTTCATCCGAAAGGTCCTTCACCCAGAAGTGAAAAGTTTCATATTATACTAGATGAAAAACATGTTGTCTTCTTAGAAGAAATGGTATACCAAAAAGAAAATATTAAAAAAAAACAATGACAAAAGCAATAAATAACTTTTTTTCATATCAAAAAATTAATTACTTAAAAATACAAAAAAAATTAAACCTTTTTATCTTCACCCAAAGGTCCTTCGCCCAGAAGTGGAAAGTAAGAACATAATACAACTTTTTTTTTTTAAGAAAAAGAAAAAACCCAAAAGGTTGGAACGGTAAAAAATAAAAAATAAGGATGGTGATATAAAAATAATTTTTTTTTATATATAATTTATATATATTATTAAATAAATATATTTAATATCATAAATTTTAAATAAGTAAATAAAAATAATTGTTTAATTGATTTGTAAAATTATATAAAAGGATTGTAACCTAAATTATGTTTTAAAAAACAAACTTGGGAATGAACTCACCAACTATTTGTTACTTTAAGTGAAAAAAGTTCAGTGTTTTTTAAATAAGGTTTTGAGTTCGAGTCTTATAAATGAAAAAAATATGTGAGAGAGCTTTTTTTTTAATAAATTTTAATATAACTCGATTTTAAATTAATTAAAATTCAATATAGTTACGAGAGAGAGGTTAATACCAAAACGTAGGGACGAACACAGGCCCTGCTAAAAAAAAAATAGAAAGCTGGGGACGAATGGGACAGGTATTATATATCCCACTGAGCATCCAATCAGAAAGCTCTTAGGAAAATAGGCTTCTTTACCTTACCCCTACTCAGACTACCTCAGACTGTCAGTCCTCCCGCCCCTGCACCATCCATATATTTTACATACACTAGTTTGCAGCAGCAGCGACAGCGCCGGCAGGTGGCAGCTGTGGCAGCTGCACCCCACTCTCTGATGATTACCAGTGTCGTTAAAAGAAGATCAGAAAAAAGTATATAATGCTAAAAATTACTATTTGTCCTGCTTTTTTTTCATACATCTTTTGTCACGGTTTTTAAAGCAATCCCATAAAAAGGGTTGCCTGCCTAACTTCCATAAACAGCAAGCCACACTGATACCTACTTGTGTTTCAGCAATATTGTAAAAGGATGTAAGCGACCTCTACAACAGATATATATCATTAAAGGTAGGAGAGGATTAATTCTGAAACTGACACAATCACAGAGATAAAGACAGATTTCTTAGAAACCATAATCATATATTGCACTATTTTAGTGAGAGAGATGAGTTCAACAACAAAAGAGATGGTAATCAGAAACCCTAGCAAGCTAAAAGCTGTGATTTTTGGGGTTTGAGTTCAAACTTAAAACGCATTAAAAAAAATTAATAATTACAACCAAGCCAATGTAACAGTAGTACACTAACTAAACCAAAAGAGACACTTTTTTTTTTTTTTGGGTGTAACCTAATATGAAAGCTTGAGGGACAAATCAACAAAAGTAGAATTAGTATCAGAAGCTTCACCACTAAGTGCTTCTGTAACTGAAGCTTCTTCTACCTTGGAAGAAGTGCTTCTTCTTGGGAAGAAATCATACTCCATGAAAACATGATTTCCACCACCCACTGCCACTGATGAGTTAATTCCCTTCTTCCTGTGAATTGCCACCACATCTACACCCTACATATAGGCCCCACTTAATCCATTAATTAAATCAATCTTTTACTAGTACAATAGGTACTAAAATGGGTAATTAATTCATTACCTTAGAAAGGTTGTGGTTGGAAGAATAAGCAGCAGAACTCCTTGGTTCTTTCTTGCTGAATCCATCGATCAGGCCATTGAAGTTTTGATTGTTTTCAAGATGCTGTTGAGGAAGATTTTGTCCTCCGTTCATGGGTAAAGCATGTGAGGTCTGGTTAAAATTGAGCCCTTCATTAAGCCTTCTGTTATCCCCACATAAACGCTTCTTCTGCAACACATCAAACCACTCAAAATTCAGGAACTTCTATACGTGTATGTATTGTGCTAGGAAATGTTGAGAAAGAATATAATGTTTCCGAATCATTACTTGAAACGTTAAAGACTGACGTGTATGCCTCTATTTAGGTGATCAAAGTCCAAAAGCACACACAAGACACTTTAACTATATTTATATATGTCTCCATTCTTTTTTTCTTTTTCATTTTCCCACACTTTCCAGAAAACCAAACAGACCTAAGAGCCTGTATTCAGAAATCAAATTCAACCTGATCATATTTTTTTGTGAAATCCAACAAGGAAAGAAACTCAAGAACTTAACTCAAGGTGTGAAATTAGAACCACAGTCATACCATGCATCTAGATCAGCTTCAAAGTCATATTTCCTTGTATTTTAGTTCTTCCTTAAACTTGGTTTATTTGAAATAAAAATAAAATAAAATAAAACCATTAATAACAAAAAGGGATAAAACCTTGAAACAGAATTCACAGCGGTACTCAGGCACACATTCCTGCAAATTTGGCATTGAAGAGAGCTCTTTCGAGGTCTCGAGAACACTGCCAAAATCCTCAGCCTTAGCTCTATTCTCCGGATAATCCACCATACCCAAAACCTGATCCGACCCATGATCAACGCCAAACCCATTAAACCCACCATTCCAAGTCCTCTTCTGTACCTTCTTCATCCCCATGTCCCAACCCCACAACCCAACAGGAACCCCAACATTAATCGTGGGAACCCCACAGCTCGCTGCTCCGAGAAGATTAGGAACACTCTCACTCGGTTCTGCCAAATGGACGGTCGGATACATCGCACCGTAGCTCGCTGCACCAGATTGATCGAGCTGAGGGGCCGTGGCGGCTTCTGTCATTTTCTTCCACCTTTCTTGGATCCTGAGGCGCTCCAGTTTTTCCACACCCATTCCTCTCTGCGGCGGTTTCTTCTGGGTCGTCGCACCGTTGCTGGGTTTCCGTCCCCTGCTCTTCCCCTGTTCTTTTTTCCCAGTGGCTGGATCATTGTTCATGAATAACGTCGCCATTGGAGAAGCTATTTTGGTCTCAGGGTTTAATGAAAGGAGAAAGAAGAAACAGAGAGATTGTTTTCCAAGGAACCAAAACGGTACCTGTGTGTGAAACGCTGGAAGGACATGGCAATGTCTAGTGTCTGCTCTCGTATTTGTCCTGGCAGAAAAGCAATTTTGCTATCTCCAGATTTGTTTTATTCATTTCCAGATACATTTCGGTTTTGTCTTTTCTGAATTTTATTATATTATTGCACAAAGCTAAATGAATTTATGGATATAAAATAACATAATTATAATATTATTTGAAATTATAAAT